TGGCCTCTCCCGTTGCGGAGCACAGGCTCCGGACGCACAGGCTCAGCGGCCATGGCGTACGGGCCCAGCCGCTCCGCGGCATGTGGGATCTTCCCAGACCAGGGCACAAACGCGTGTCTCCTGCATCAGCAGGCGGACTCTCAACCACTGCGCCACCAGGGAAGCCCCAGTGTGTTCTTAATACATGTTTTAGAACTCTATTTTTCACTTTTACCTTTAAACAAATAGCTGTTAATATATTGACTTAATGAATTGCATGTGTAGAATATATAGCTGTGAAAATAACTAAATATGCTGCTGTAATTCTAAAAGTTTAAGAAACAAGATCTCATTTTGGGGGAAAGAAAGCCAGATGTTGGTATCTTTTAGACTACAGTTCTAGGTCAAAATGTTTATAGAGTATACCTTACCTACTTTTAAATGAAATTCATGTGCTTTTAAGGTGTATCATGTGGTCAGCCAACTCAGTTGTCTGCTGAATGAGGCATGAAACATTATTTATACCAAATTATACATGGATATAAATATACAGTCAAATGTATAGCAGTTTGCTTTTTATTAGCATTTTTTGATATAATGACTTAAGGAATGTCAAGAGCATGGGAAACACATCTACATCGAATGTGCTTAGAATTTTCACAATTGAAACTTTCACTTTAAAAAGAAAACTCTTCAATTTAGTTCTTAAGTGAAGAGTGAGAAAGTGTGCAGAGTGTAGCTAGTAGGCAGTTTATCAGAATAAGGCATTTGAGCCTAGGTTTTTATTGCAGATAGCTCTGTATTACTCAAGAAGGGAAATAATCGACATAATCCTTCACACTGACATTTGCAGCTCATAAGTGGGCTCCATTAAGGGATGGTTGAATTTTTTTTTTTTTTTTTAATTCTACTGCCTCTCACCTCTCTCAAACCCACAAGATGGCAGAATAACTTCCAAACTGACCCAACATGTGGGAGTGGGGCAGGAAGGCCTGAAAGTGTGGCTAGACAGCATGCATGCCAAGGTGCGGCTTCCTGGTGCGTCTACAAGTTGCTGGACATGCATGCCATTAGCGAGTCCCCAGGAGGGCGTGTTTTGGCTTCTTGTGTATTCTTTACAAAGAAACATGTTTGGTTACACAACTGGGCATCATCTTGGAGAGGCCTACACCATAAAGATGGTGGGAACTAAGTTTCTTAAAGATTGAAACAATTCATTGTAATCAGTTATTACTAAGCAATTCTATTTTGTTTTTTGATTATGAGTGGGATAAAATTGCTCAAAGAGGATTAGGAATAGAGCTGAGATTCAGGACTGGGGCTAAATAATGGGTGGGTCTGGAGAGATTCCAAGTAAAAACAACTAGTAGGGCTTCCCTGGTGGCGCAGTGGTTGAGAGTCCGCCTGCCGATGCAGAGGACACGGGTTCGTGCCCCGGTCCGGGAAGATCCCACATGCCATGGAGTGGCTGGGCCCGTGAGCCATGGCCGCTGAGCCTGCGCGTCCGGAGCCTGTGCTCCGCAACGGGAGAGGCCACAACAGTGAGAGTCCCGTGTACCGCAAAAAAAACAAAAAACTAGTAGATCTCTAGATAAGCACATGCAAACTACATTGAACTATACATTTTTTGGTGGTGTGGTCAGAACAGGAGAATCTGGACAATAATTTTTAGATTATGCTTTCAAGGGACATAGTTATAGGACATAACTGATACTTGTGAGCCTTTACAGTAGTGAACTAGGCAGTTTGTCTCAATATCAGACATGAATTTTCATTATTCATTGGGCCATTATCTCCTTTCACTTTTTTCTTTTCCTTTAATACCTTTAAGCATTTATAACTACTTACACAATAATTTAAAATAATAGTAATACATCTTTAAAATTATTTGGGTGTTTCTTTTTTAGCTTCTGGAGAAAGCTGGTATTCATTTTTAAAGTTGTCAAGTTATCCATGTGACTGTTTTGTTCAACCAGAAAAAAATGGTCTAAAACAGGATCATTTGACTGTTGGGAACTATTTTGTTATGCAGAATGGTTATATTTTTAGTTTAAATTACCATTTCAAAAATGTGTTGAAGTATTCAAGGAGAATGTTAGATAAGACTTCACTTTAAAAATGAACAAATTGGACACATCACCCTCAGACTTACTCCTGTGAATTTTTCAATAATTGAAAGGCGAAAAAGTTGATATTTATGTAAACAGGTGGGCAAAAAAAAAATGAGTTCCAGCTGAGATAGTAAGATAGCTGTGTTCATCACTAAAGTGGCTCATGTTTCTCATGTTATAAAATGAACCTTCTAGTAACTATATCAAATTTTTGCAGAGAAGGTAAATCAGATTTAAGTGACACTTTTTTTTTGACTTGGCAGTACTTGACAACAGTGATTCCTTATGAGAAAAAAAATGGACCACCATCTATTGAAGATCTTCAAATATTAACAAAAAGTAAGCAAAGACAAAATTAAACTGTTACCTTGTTTACTTTTGCTGATTCTAAACACTGATTTTAGTTGGCTGGTTTTGTTTCTGTTATTATTTTATCAATTTGGGATAGTAAATGATGGATGTCATCATTTATTCTTTTGAGAATGAAACCATAAATGGTTGTGACAAACACAGCACTCAATCTAGAGTTGATTTGTATTTTCCCTGTTTTTTTTATCTTTTGAAACATTTACAAGCTGAACTTTTGGAGGAAAAATGTAACAATTTCCCATCACCTCTTGTATATTTAAGAATATATCCATTTATCAATTAATAAGGTGCTTCATGGATCTTATATTAGTATGACTGTCAGAAACTCAGTAGGAAGGATTTAGAAATGCAGCCTAAAACACTCTCCTTTCTTAGGAATGTGGAAACCAAGGTAGGTAGTTAACAGGTAGAAAATAAATTGATAGTAATATTTTAAGAATATTTATTCACTCAGCAAATATTTAATGAAGGCCTACTCTGTGCCAGGCCATGTTCTGAGCACTTGGGATACTTCAGTTAACAAAGCAGATAAAAATACTCCACCTTCAATGGGCTTGCATTTTAAAATAATTTGTTAGACCTAAGGGACATTCAATATAATGTATATTTATGATAGCCATAAATGAGTCCTGAATTCTGGTTCTATCCATTACTTATAGGGATGTCCTTGGAAGTCATTTACACTCTCTCAGTCACAGTGAAAAATGAGGATTAAAATATTTGCTCTCTTTACCTCATAGTAAATAAATTAATGTATGTGTGATTTGGGGTAAGTCAGTCACTTGGCCTTGTTTTTCTTGAAGGGATTGAATTTGCTGATCTGTTACGTTCTTTCTTTTTATAAATATTTGTGATAACTGTGAATTAAAGAGGGAGCCGGGGCTTCCCTGGTGGCGCAGTGGTTGAGAGTCTGCCTGCTGATGCAGGGGACACGGGTTCGTGCCCCGGTCCGGGAAGATCCCACATGCCACGGAGCAGCTGGGCCTGTGAGCCATGGCCACTGAGCCTGCGCGTCCAGAGACTGTGCTCCACAACAGGAGAGGCTACAACAGTGAGAGGCCCGCGTACCGCAAAAAAAAAAAATAAATAAAGAGGGAGCCGAACGAGAGAGCCATCACATGAGTGGATATTAATGATGATATTGATTTTGGAAATTGAGGTGATCGAGGCACGGGTGGGGGGAGCACGAGGAAAGAAGTGTCTTATTTGCAAGCAGCCTGCCTGCTAACCTGAAGCTTTTATTCTTTCCTTTGAACAGTACTTTTCAGAACATTTCATACTTATGTGATGCCAGACTGTATAAAATAAAGAATTAAGAGATTAACTGGGTGGCTAGCCCTCTACTTTTCAGGAAGAATGAGTGTCCAAGTTCACACAGGAGAATGGTTCATTACAGGGCTGCATCTCGTAATTTCCAGTCCACCACACTTTTTAATAATGCTGGATTTTAATAGTGCTGGTTTTTGGTACGTGATTTTATGTAGAACTGAAAACAAATCTAAAATATGATTGGAAGCAGAAATACTGAACATTAAGGATCTCTCTAAGAAGAGAGCACAGATATTGCCTAGAAGCCAGGAATTACTGAGGGATCTCAGCTTCTCAGATCAAGGACAAACACATACTTGGCCAAACCAAAGTTGTCATAATTCCCACATCAGAATGTCCTAGGCCGATCCTTAGATGATGTCTTTATAGACTGACACAACTTGGAATTTGGGGTGAGTGAATGTGTATGTAGGGTGTGTGAATGAGTGTCCAAGTTAATATACTACATGAAGACAGTAGATGGAAGGATGACCTTTACTCTGAAAGTTTAAGAAAAGTGGTTATCTCCTGAAAATTTTGGGGAGAATCTGAGCCTCTGCCGTCGCCTCCTATAGATGTTACTGCAGGGGAAGCCCCGTAGAGACAGGCAGTGTTTAGATATGTATCCTTCTTCATAAAAGCTATTGGAGGTGCAATGATAGTAGTGATAAGAATTAGAATAATATTAGTTGTGCTAATAATGATGGTAATGCTTACGTAGCGTATGTAACGTGCCAGGTACTACTTTAAGTCCTTTACACCTGAATTAGTAACTTAATACTCACAACAACCCTTTGAGACAAGTCTAATGATTATTCCCATTTTACAGATGAGGAACTGGGTGGTTAAGTAACTTGCTCACAGTCCCGCTGCTAGGAAGTGGCAGAGCCGGGGTTTAAACCCAGGAAGACTGACTTGACAGTTACACTAGGTTGTCTTGTCATACATCTGGGGGAGAATAGTGAGGCCTTTCCCCAGGATGCTCTGGAGAGTTCGAGTTGGCAGTCACTGTGAAAGGGAAGTGTAGGTGGTCTAGATGTTTTTTAACCACTGTAATAGTAGCTGTGTTTTCTGTTTTGTCTTTGTTTAGAGATCAAATTGTCAAATCTTTGCTTAGAGATAAAATTGTCAAAGATTCTCTTTAGGATGAGGCGAAATCACCCAGGTGCCTTTGGAGTATCAAGAAGTAAGCAGCCTGGCTGGGTGCTTGCTTCATGGGAAGTCTGTTCTTCGTTTTGTTTTTTCTTTAAAAGTTTCCAAGAAGGCTGACTGATGTGCTCCTTGGAGAGTACGGCTAATTCTCCATTTCCCTAAGAGTTCCTCCAGCTCATGAGATCTGCAGCACCAAGGTTCTCCTCTCCAGAGCTCATAGAAGTGCACATTATGGTAACTCACTTGCCAGTATTTATGGTGACAGAACTGGGGCTCTGTGTAATAACCCAGCTCCTGCTTCCTGCCTCCACTGTTTAGAAATTTTAAATCAGGGAAATAGCTCTCAGGTAGCTGCAGTATTCTGACCTGAACGAGGACTTATTCAACTATAACAAATTCTTGAACATTTGCAGTTGTATTCTCTCATCCAGAAAATAGTCAATTTGCATGAATTGTTATATCATGTAATTAAGACTAAGGCTACCATGACTGAGGTTATCTGAATTTGAAATTGTGTTTTCTTTCTCCTTTATTTTGCAGTTCTTCGTGCCATGAAAGAGGATAGTGAAAAAGTTCCGAGTTTGTTAACTGATTATATACTGAAAGGTGAGTTTTAGAATAGTGTATGTGCAGTTGTTGGGAAGTTTTGATTGGTCAATAAATGCATTGTCTTGCTAATAGATTAAAAAGTAACTCCCAAATGCGCAACTTTTACTTTGCAGGGTGAGAATAGATAACGTGACGACTTATTTATGCTTCCAACATTATAAAGTATGGTTATTTAAAGTTTAATTTTTATTTGAAGTCCTGGGCTGGAAATAATTTCCACAGCTAAATTATAAACATCAAGGAAGGCAACGGAGGGACTTCCCTGGAGGTCCAGTGGTTAAGACTCTGAGCTTCCCCCGCAGGGGGCACGGGTTCGATCATCCCTGGTCGGGGAACTAAGATCCCACATGGCTGCGTGGAGCAGCCAAAAAAAAAAAAAAAAAAAAAAAGAGAGGCCACAACAGTGAGAGGCCCACATACCGCAAAAAAAAAAAAAAAAAAAAAAAAAGGCATTGGAGGAAATGTTATGGAGATGTTGCCATAATGATGTGAGTCTCAGGTGTTGACGCTGAGGATTTGAGAAAGTGGCCTCTGTCCTCTTGGGGACACTAGAAGAAGGACGGATGAAGGAGGGAACAGTTAGATCAGTTCACAGTCCCAAAGGGAATATGAATGGGGATGGGGTAAGGGGCAGGGAGCGGAGGGAGAAAGAGAAAAAGAATGGACTTTCATAAAGCCAGGGCAGTGAAGAATGAGCCATACATCTTAGGAGCAAGATCGGCATCTCACAGGATGGGAACAGTGATGAGGCAAAGGAAGACCATTTGAGACTTTAACGACATCACCTGCTTTGCTGAGGAAGGAAGAAAATTTGGATGATAGAGGGACTGAAGAACTTATTTAATTATAGGCAAAAATAATACTTTTCAGTGAAATTTTCTTAAAAAGCAGCAGTTTTTTAGGTAACATTTTCAGAGCATCGTAAAATGCATCCTGTAGTGTTTGATCCAATTTTGAGAGCCGTCCTCCTCTGGTCACACTTCTCTTCTTTGGGTTCTCTCTCTTCTCCATCAAGAGTAGCTAGCTGAACCGAAGGTTGGGATTTGTGAGATGTCAGATAACTCAGATGGGACTTTTCTTCAATCATAGCTTCATAAAGGGGGAACCCTTGGTATAGTCATGAGCACAAAGTGAATATTACATGAGTATCACCTGTAAGACCTGACACCAAGCCAGCCATTAGTAGGTTAACAGGAGGGTAGAAAAGACTAAGTTGACATGATGGTTTTTTAAATAAGCTTTTCTTTTTCTTTCTGATGGAGGAGGGTTTTCTCTTCCTATTACGTTCTGAATTAAAAACAAAACAAAAGGGCTTCCCTGGTGGCGCAGTGGTTGAGAGTCTGCCTGCCAATGCAGGGGACACGGGTTCGTGCCCCGGTCTGGGAGGATCCCACATGCCACGGAGCGGCTGGGCCCGTGAGTCGTGGCCGTGGAGCCTGCGCGTCCGGAGCCTGTGCTCCGCAGCGGGAGAGGCCACAACAGTGAGAGGCCCGCATACCGCAAAATAAAACAAAACAAAACAAAAACATCTGACATCTTTGCTTTTGTGTTGTGTTAGCATTGGTATGAAAGCTGGATTGTTCTGAGGTTTGTTTTTCATAGATGTGAATCAGGAATGAGATGCACATAAAGAACATGTCTTAATTTTCAATTATAGTGGGTCTCTTGGGCACTGCCATGAGGGCCAGAGACAGAATGAGCTTCTGAAGCATTCTCTAGCTATTTTATCATCAGACTGCATGGGAGAATTTTATGACCCAGAGAGCAGTGTTCCGGGGCGGGGGATGTGGGCGTGTGATTTTTTTTTTTTTTTTAACATCTTTATTGGAGTATAATTGCTTTACAATGGTGTGTTAGTTTCTGCTGTATAACAAAGTGAATCAGCTATACGTATACATATATTCCCATATCTCCTCCCTCTTGCATCTCCCACCCTCCCTATCCCACCCCTCTAGGTGGTCACAAAGCACCAAGCTGATCTCCCTGTGCTATGCGGCTGCTTCCCACTAGCTATCTGTTTTACGTTTGGTAGTGTATATATGTCCATGCCACTCTCTCACTTCGTCCCAGCTTACCCTTCCCCCTCCCTGTGTCCTCAGGTCCATTCTCTACGTCTGCATCTTTATCCCTGTCCTGCAACTAGGTTCTTCAGAACCTTTTAATTTTTTTTAGATTCCACATATATGTGTTAGCATATGGTATTTGTTTTTCTCTTTCTGACTTACTTTACTCTGTATGACAGACTCTAGGTCCATCCACCTCACTACAAATAACTCAATTTCGTTTTTTTTTTATGGCTGAGTAATATTCCATTGTATATATGTGCCACATCTTCTTTATCCATTCATCTTCTTTATCCATTCATCTGTTGATGGACACTTAGGTTGCTTCCATGTCCTGGCTATTGTAAATAGAGCTGCAATGAACATATTGGTACATGACTCTTTTTGAATTATGGTTTTCTCAGGCTATATGCCCAGGAGTGGGATTGCTGGGTCGTATGGTGGGGGTGTGACTTTTCCTTTCTTCCCTGAAAACCTGGGACTGTAACCGCGACTCTGCACCGCCTGCCCTAGGGAGGCGGCACGCCTCCAGCTCTGCTCCCCTTGCTCGGGCTGCTGGCTCTGGTCTGCGAGCCCAGGTCTAGCTAGACGAGCTGCTTGTGTGCATGTGTTGCGGTTTTTGTCTTGGTTTTGTATTGTGAGGACTGGGTGGAAAAGAAGCTGGGTTTCAGACTAAAGGGTGACTCTGTACTATGAGAAAATGAAGACGGGAGTGTAACACTCAGAGGAGTTCATGTGCCTGGGAAGGCGAGGATGGAGGGCTATTTAAAATGCTCTTTTCCACCCATTCTGAAAATCCATAGCCAGTTAGTGATTTCTCTTCCTTGGGGACCAGTAGAACATTTTGCCCAGGAAGAGGGTATTGCTCAAGGGAGAACTCTCCTTCCCCTTTCCTGATGGGACATTCTCCTTGTTTTTTTTTTGTTGTTGTTGTTTGTTTTTTTGTGGTACGCGGGCCTCTCACTGCTGTTGCCTCTCCCGTTGCGGAGCACAGGCCCCGCGGCCATGGCTCACGGGCCCAGCCGCTCCACGGCATGTGGGATCTTCCCAGACTGGGGCAAGAACCCATGTCCCCTGCATCGGCAGGCGGACTCTCAACCACTGCGCCACCAGGGAAGCCCCTCTCCTTGTTGTTTTTAATGCCAGTGACTATGGCTTAGCTGCCTACATATACCACCTTAATTTCAGTGCAAAGGTAAGAAGTGAAAGAAGGTAGAAAAGTGGCCTCATTTGGCCTGGAAAAGATGGGATGGATGCCGTATGGGCTACTTAAGCTTCTCTTTCTCACTGCTGTGTAATTACGCCACCGCAGCCTGCTTCCACCCCGGCCCTCAACAGCTGTGCCAAAGGCTAGTAGTGTAGCTCTGGCTGCCACTGTGCTGACCCTAGATGGGAAGAAAATTGTGTGCAGACACTTGGATCCTTCTTTGACTTCACTGGGGAGCCGTTTGCTGTGTTATAAGCCTCGTACAGGGCTAACGTTATGGGTTTATATCTCTAAGTGGTACCCTAAGAGACATGGCCTTTTGGTATCTCATTTCTGGGCAATTCTAATCAATGTGTCTTGAGAAAACGTTTCATTGTTGGGTGTAGCCTTTTATACCTTAGAAAAAAAATGACTACTATAGATCCTTGCATTAATGTTTAGTTCTAATGGTGTTTTTTATATACATATAAAATGTATATACATAAAAATGTGTATAAATATATATACATCTTGTGTAAATATATACAAATATTCATTTCTATTTAACAGTTTTTGTCCTGTTTTTCTTCCTCTAGTTCTGTGTCCTACATAGGGCAGCATAACTTCAGGAACAGCTTTATCGTCTGTGGACAGCAAACTAAATTGCTTATGGCATTATTCTGAAAGCTGGCTACCATTACCTTCCTGCTATTGGAAACTCAGGACACCTGAACTTGGGTTTGTGATTCAGTATTACTATAGTGATCATGCCTTCTCTAATGCTTTATATTATGAACCGAGGGAACTACGGCACTATTTTGAATTCTAGAGATTTTTTTTTGTTAAATTCTAACAATTATAAACTTTTCCAGCTTTATAGAGTAAGGGGGAGTGATGTTAATTGTGCATGTACAGTTATATTTTTCATGCCTGTTTGAGTTTTTAAGGCTTTCTGGATCTAAACTGCACTCACTCAAGAACTAGATCAAAGCACTGAGAGATTTATACTCGTTATTTTTCAGTGCTGGCAAGAACCATCACTGATTTTTTTGTAAGAGAATTGTCAGTGTAAATATTACCTACCAGTATTGTCCAGAGAGACTAAGACTTAAAAGTTGGGGTGTTCTTGGAAGAAGGGAAACCAGAATATGCGTTGTCTTGGCTTAATACTTAGTCAATATCGAAACAGCTGGAGATGACTGATTTTAGAGGTTGCTGCGTTTCACCATTGTTCATATTTTAACCATTAAGATGCCATTTACTTTCAGAATCTTGTATTAACTTTAGAGGTTTCATTGCTTCATTTCACTTGTCTGTGAAGAAGTGTCCTTTAAAAGGAGTTTGTATCCTTTAAGGTGCTTAAGAAACTGTATGCTGCAGCATTGCCCATTTCCTGTTACTGTTACATTTTATTCATGCCTATGTGTTTTCCTAAAGTACTAACTCTAGAAACAGCTACTCATGGATCCATCACTAGTCATGAAAAACTTGTTCCAGTTCCAATCATGTCAATGTCATTTAATAAATGTTGGGGGGAAAAAAGGTAATATATACTTGAGAGCTTTATTTTTGAGTTTTTGGTTGTTTGATTTTTTTCTTCCCTTAACAGTGCTGGATTCCTCCCCTCACTGTTCACACATTGTCCATCATTACAGTGTGTGAGCTGGTGAAACCTTGATTAGCCTCATGATGCTAAGGAGGGGAGAGAGGGACTTTTTTCAGATCGTGCTAAGCTGCTGTGGAATGATGGAAGTCCTGTTCTTTTTCTGGGTCCGTGAGACATTCCTAACAGCCACGGCAGCTTCTTCCCATTGACAACGTGAGTGTAAGTAGAGTCTCTATAGGACCTGCTGTCGGGCTTTTAAAATTCCACTTAAACATCTGTGAGCATACAGAGCTACCCGGCTCAGTAAATGGGACCCCAGGACTGCGACGGCAGTAGCTCAGTTTGGAGTTGATGCCAGCGTGGCACTTAAGCCGTTCTCTAGGAGTATGTGGAACTTGAGATGGTTCCTTGTTTTATTAATGTCTTATTTGATAGCGAATATGTGGAACTAATTTGTCCCTTGCCCTTGAATTGATGAAGATGCATACTAATACAATAATATTAATAATTTAATCTGAATTTGTAAAACTTGTCTTATACTGAAGAAATATCACTTTGGAGGGCATCCGAGTGTCAAGAGATGTTTTTTTGGAGCGACTCAACCGTGGTCTGTTTATAGTTCATTCTTAAGTTGATGCATCTGAAATGTATGAAAAATATGCTATTTTTTCCTATCAACTCAAAGTCCCCTTTTAATGAGGTTTCCTCTATTTTGCTTGGTAACCTCTTTCTTCAGCATTAGTAAAATCCTAGGGTTTCCCACTACAGCCTTTCTCCTACACATGATGAATGAGTTTGACACTAATGATGAGATGGGCGTGTTTCTGATCTGTGGCTGACCACAGGTAGGTTTTAAGTTTCTCTCATAGCAGCATCCCTGTGCTGTACACTTGATTGCTGGGGTGGGGGGTGGGGGACACCTTTTTTTTTTTTTTTTTTTTTTAACCAAGGATTCCTTGGGAAAGGCCTGCCTTCTGAGAGAAGCACTGGGGCTGCTTGTGATGCCGGAACTGACAGCCTTAAAGTAAAAGGACGAGTCATCTTTCTCATCTCAGACACAGAATCTTTTTGAAACTGACACTGTGTGATTTAGAGTGAAAGTGTTTATTTGCTGCCAAGAATCAAGTTGCAGGTAATCCTCTTACAGCCTTGTTTTTTGAAGAAAACAAAACAAACTGCAGAACTATAGTGCACTCCAAGTGCCATATATCTATTTTATTCTTCAGGAAATTATATTTTTCTTTTACAGAGCACAACAGGAACCAAAGTAAAAGAGTAATAGATATAGCACTCAGGATAAATCAAATCTTTAAAATAATAAAAAAATTTACACCTTGTCCTATATCCTGTTAGTATTTTCATAATATGGCCATGATTGAAAAAACAAAAAGCAAGCATTTACAATTTTTTGATAGACTTTTTATGCCAGGAATGGATTAATTGTCAACAAAAATTTATACTAATCAGGCTGATGTAAGTCTATTTTGGTAACATATCATTGACAAATTTATTTTGGAGATAAAAATATTGCCCCTTGATAATAAATCTTTTTTTCTTTGATGCAAACAGCTAGAACACCTTTTTCTTTTCCTTTTTTTGATATTCTAAGACAAAAGAAATGGTTAATCTTCAGATTAATAAATTAGGTCATTATAATAATAAATTAATTTTTTTTTAAAGTTCAGCAACCTCTGTCCAAGTATTTACAACAATACTTGAAAGTTCCTTTACAAAACAGAACACATTTTCTTTTCACATTAAGCATACTGGGTATCTGTGTCTTTCACAACAAGCATTTTAAAAAGAAAAATCAATGCAACAAATGGGTAATTAGTATAAAAGTGCTAAGAGCTGTTTGAAAAGTTAACACTATAGTATACAGTCAGTTATATCTGAGGCAAACTACAACAAACTTCCAGCTTATTATGGACAATATTCCAGTAGTTGTTTCAAACAGTTGTTTGAAAGAAAAAAAAAAAAAAATCCAGGAGCTGATTAGTGATGCAGATAAACTGCCATCAAGGTCTCTGGCCAGTGAGCAAATTGAAAACCAAAAGCAAATCCAAATGAGGAAGATTTTAATAAAGGAATACCTTCTCCATAGCAGGTATGATGCTGACTGCTCAAGGCGTGTGCATACACACACAAACACACATACACCCAACACTCACACGTTTCTCTTCCCAAGCAAGTAGATTGAGACTTTGTGTTAATCAAAAATTTAAGTGATCAAAAGCACTGATATGGAATGCCTGTTTGTTTTTGTTCTGGTTAAAATCTCATAAAAATACATTCAACAGGAAAACATAAATTGTATGTGTATAAATATATATGCATATATATTATATACACACGCACACAAATACTTCTGTTTTTCTGAAGCATAAGATAGTTACATAAATATTCCTATAATTGCTAAAGTTTAAAGAGGCATAATTTTTTTTTGAGCTTCAATAAAGGTGCTTGAATAATATACAATTAAAATGAAGCAGTTTCTATTTTGTAGAATCAGTATATAATAAGGAAAAAAAAGATCCCCAAACAGTCTTTTTTTTTAAAAAAAGAAAAAAAAAAAAAAAATCCAGGAGCTGATTAGTGATGCAGATAAACTGCCATCAAGGTCTCTGGCCAGTGAGCAAATTGAAAACCAAAAGCAAATCCAAATGAGGAAGATTTTAATAAAGGAATACCTTCTCCATAGCAGGTATGATGCTGACTGCTCAAGGCGTGTGCATACACACACAAACACACATACACCCAACACTCACACGTTTCTCTTCCCAAGCAAGTAGATTGAGACTTTGTGTTAATCAAAAATTTAAGTGATCAAAAGCACTGATATGGAATGCCTGTTTGTTTTTGTTCTGGTTAAAATCTCATAAAAATACATTCAACAGGAAAACATAAATTGTATGTGTATAAATATATATGCATATATATTATATACACACGCACACAAATACTTCTGTTTTTCTGAAGCATAAGATAGTTACATAAATATTCCTATAATTGCTAAAGTTTAAAGAGGCATAATTTTTTTTTGAGCTTCAATAAAGGTGCTTGAATAATATACAATTAAAATGAAGCAGTTTCTATTTTGTAGAATCAGTATATAATAAGGAAAAAAAAGATCCCCAAACAGTCTTTTTTTTTAAAAAAAGTTTCTTCTTAAGCTAGAGCTTCATCGAAAACTATGAACAACCGACAGAACAGAAGAAAGCAACAACAAACAAGGAAGTATAGCCCCTGGAAATGCCTGGTGTCCTCACCCTCTTCTTCCTGCCACGCTGCTGTCAGAAAAGCTCCAGTGCTCACATCAAGAAACGACTCAGGTTTTATTCATTTGCCGACTCTGCTAGGAACTGGCTGATCGACTGACTTGGAAGAAAAAGCAAGCAGCAAAAAGTCTAACTGTATCTATCCTTAATCACCCGCTTTAGAGAAACGTTGCCACCCCATTTCTCTTGCTTCCTCACCACCTACTGCAGCTGTGGCTGTATATAAAAGAAGCATGTGGCTTTAGGCCTGGGTTGGCTATCAAAAGGGTCTGATGTGCTCGTCTGGTAGTCTAAGGTGGTTATGGCAGCTGGATCGCAAGGCCTTTTTGTTTTCCTGCTCACTCAGGCCTGAGCTTTGCAGCAACCAGTGCAAGTCTTCCGAGCAACAGGAAAAAAATATCCTCTGGGCCACTGGACTGGATTTCTCCACAAGCCAAGCTGACCTATTTGTCTTCCCAACACCACCCTCCCACCCATTCACCCCAACCAAACTCACTGTCCCCGTCCCCAAGTATCTCTACAGCTATATTACAAGCAAATATATCTTAGCAACTTTAAAACCTTTGGTTCTAAGACAACACTTGGTCAGTTATCTTGAGGAAGAGTGGGAATGCTTGTTCTGCACACTGCTGTCGACAGAGCCCAGCCCAGGAAGTCCTCAGCGCTGTACATCAAGTCACAATCCAAAACAATCCACTAAGCAAGTGCACGAATTCTAGTTTAAGAGCAGATTGAGTCGTTTTTCTGTCTTTCAAAACCTCATCCACACTGCCTCTCTTCACACCGTTTGGTAGAAATTGTCTGCCTGTAGGTGGTTCTGTTTTTGCATGCTGTATAAGCCACTGAATCTGTCGTCTGGTTCTGCGATTCTCAGCGTTCTCTGGGAACCGTCCACCTGGACTCGGGTTCCTTTCTTGCAGTCCACAGATACCAGCTGATTATTTAAAGAAGAAGGCTATTTAATGGGAGGAGGAAAAAGAACCACAAAGAATTAACTGCTTTACATATCTCAAATCAACAGATATTTAGTACCTCATTCAAGTGAGAAAACAGCATCACAGCACATGGATGGGCAGACTACGTCGGTTCACATCATGCTCTGGTGCCAACTATACTTTTTTTGTGGCTGCGCTGCATGGCATGTGGTACCTTAGCCCCCCAACCAGGGATCCAGCCTGTGCCCCCTGCAGTGGAAGTGTGGAGCCTTAACCACTGGACCACCAGGGAGGTGCTGCCAACTATACTTTTATGAGGGATACTGACAAACTGTGCTTAAGGGTGAAATGTCAATAAATTCTATGTCAAATGGAGGGGATGAAGGAACTGAGAAAATACGGAAGTGACATAATTATTTTCAAATCCTTGAAGCACAGACTAGTGCTTAAGAGGGTTGAAACATGAGTGGAAGGTACCAGATAGGCAGATTTTAAGATAAACGGATCATTTCTTATCAGGCTGTAAAATCAGCATCCCAGGTTGGGCCAGTCTGTCTAGATCCAGCCATACACACTATGATATGAGCAGCTCTCTCCCCAGCTTTGCAGGTAGGGACTGTGTCTTGTGCAGCCCTGTATCCTGACCCAGCATGTCCCCAGCACAGAGGCAATTTACATACTTGTTGTAAGAAAATCAGAGATAGGATAACCATCTGGCAGAAATTTTATGTGAAAGTATTATCTGTATGATAAATGGGCTGTTTTCAATTCTTGAGGTTGTATATCTTTTTTCTTTAGTAAAAACCAAACTGCAAAAGGTAGTTAGTGTTCAAAGGAATTATGATTTTCTCCCTTCATGAAAATGAATTATTTCCTGCTTTTTAAAATAGGCAGATTGAGGCCCTTTGCATTTGTATTGACAACAAATACATATTCTTTCCCCTGCAATATGAAATCTGACTGTCTCCACCTTGTCTGGTATTATTTCACACAATCTCTTCATCATTTTCTACCTTTCCCCTTTCTGCCTGCCTTTGACACATCTCCCTGTCCTTTGGACTTCTGTACATTGTCATGATCTTTTAGCTTTCCTCTTGCCCTCTTCTGTGTGTTGTTATCTCCCTAACCTTGTGATTTTTTTTCTTCCTCTCCCAATTCTAAGTTGATAGATGATTGAGAAATACCAAGTGACCAAGTTTTAATTTCTAATATAAACAACAATCACTTAGGAATCAATCCAGGGGTATCTGCTTATTTGAAAACTTTAAAGTAAATCCAGGAAATTGGATCTGTGAAAGGTCAGGATTCATTAACTGATGGATGACGGAGACTTGATCCAGCCATCTAGCCCAGGGCAAATACTATATATCTTGATCACCACAGCTTAATGTGCATTTGAAGCTATGAGGAGCAAAGTAAACATTTCACTGGCTAATAGAGAAGATATCAAGCAACTAAGGAAATCTAAGCATACAAGCTTTCCTAGTTTGATCGTTTAAGAGGCTGAAACTTTGTCAGTACAATACCTTAGTTGGTGTTCGATACCAGCAAAGCAGTGGTATCCACTGTTTCTTCTGATTGATGAACAGGAATGCTATTATAATAGAGAGGCCTATTATTATGGGAACCACAACTGAGGCAATGGAGTCCAGCGAAGAATCTTCTCCTGAGTGCAGCCTGTTATTATCTCTGTAATCTACCTGGAGGGGACCCATGTCTAGAAGAAAAAAAATTATAAGCATTTATTACCTAAAGCAGAATTTTTCTTTTTTTTTTTTTGGTACGCGGGCCTCTCACTGTTGTGGCCTCTCCCGTTGCGCAGGCTCCGGAGGCGCAGGCTCAGCGGCCGTGGCTCACGGGCCCAGCCGCTCCGCGGCATGTGGGATCTTCCCGGACCAGGGCACGAACCCGTGTCCCCTGCATCGGCAGGCGGACTCTCAACCACTGTGCCACCAGGGAAGCCCTAAGCCAGAATTTTTAAGGATTATTTTAATCACATTGCAAATAGAGATCAGCAACGTGGTTTTATTGCTTCCTAGTACTTTAAGGCTAAAACATGATTTAAGTGTAATGTGGATCCAAAGAGCACTTATGAGAGAGCAGAGCTCTTAGGGATGGATGTAAAAAAGAAAATATTAGGGTGAGAAGTTTTAGTAATTGGGCAGGATTGGGCAGGATGATGCTGATTCTAGCTAGTAAAGAAAGTAAGAAAATTCTTACGCAGACTTTAAAGAAAAAGTGACTAGGGCTTCCCTGGTGGTGCAGTGGTTAAGAACCCGCCTGCCAATGCAGGGAACACGGGTTCAAGCCCTGGTCCGGGAAGATCCCACATGCCGTGGAGCAACTAAGCCCGTGCGCCACAACTACTGAGCCTGTGCTCCAGAGCCCGCAAGCCACAACTACTGAGCCCGTGTGCCACAACTACTGAAGCCGGCGCACCTAGAGCCCGTGCTCCACAACGAGAGAAGCCACCGCAATGAGGAGCCCGCGCACTGCAACTAAGAGTAGCCCCTGCTCACCACAACTAGAGAAAGCCTGTGCACAGCAACAAAGGTCCAATGCAACCAAAAATAAATAATAAATTAATTAAAAACCATTTTTTAAAAAAAGTGACTAAAATTAGACTACTGAAAATATTTTAATTAATGTTAACCTTTATGGTCTTCTAAGATTTTGAAGCAGAAACATCAGCTTGGCTCCCTGTTTACTAACAAATAGGAGACTAGGACAAAGTATATGCTTCTACTTAGTAGTGTAATAGTAAGACTAATTAGTAGTGTACTCGTAAAAACCAAGCCAGAATCAAGAGCTTGGTCTTTTGGTTAATATTCTGGTTTACTGAGCTTTAGGCAAAAAATGCCGTACTTTTCATAAACTTGTTGAAAACTCACTGGACCTATTGGATCATTTTCCTGCCTTAGTTATTGTACAAGGGACGTTTAAGTTTGCTCTTATAAATGGTGGTCTTTTTGTTCCTTTAAATCATCATTCTTGCAATGAACACTGCAGACAGAGAAAACAAATTTAAATAGATACCAATTAGGAGCACTCTCTGAAGATTTCCTTATTTTTCTTTTATTTTGTTTCAAATAAACCACTGTAGTCAGGATGTCTTTAAATGCATCAAAGACCAGGTTAGTGAAAGATGCAGAACACATGCAATCAAAAGGCCTTGCGTTTAAATTGTTTTGGAAACTCAGCTCATGAAGTAGCACAGCTTTGTGATGTTAATACTGTCTATAGTTTAAAACTCAGATTTTTATTAATATCCTTCTATGTGTATGTGGGAGGATGAGAAGAAGAGACCCTTCCTAGTCATTTTAGACAGGGAGATGGTAATACTTTATAGGAAGGGGGAAAAAAAAGGGAACATATTTATCAGCATCAAGAAAAATGCCAAAGGGGGGAGTTCCCTGGTGGTCCAGTAGTTAGGACTCTGTCAGCACTTTCACTGCTGAGGGTGTGGGTTTCATCCCTGGCCAGGGAACTAAGATCCCGGAAGCCGTGCGGTGCGGCCAAAAAAAAAAGAGTAGTTTCTAATGCCAAAGGTAAAAGTAACATTTTATTGATGAATTCAGGTTTTAAAAACACAATGAATAAAAGAATGAATTTTCACCTTCCCACATTCCAAATGATATTGGAAGTGTTTTTAGGAATACATGTCATATAAGAAGATTAAAAAGTAAATTAAGGGGGGCTTCCCTGGTGGCGCAGTGCTTGAGAGTCCGCCTGCCGATGCAGGAGACGTGGGTTCGTGCCCCGTTTCGGGAAGATCCCACATGCCGCGGAGCGGCTGGGCCCGTGAGCCATGGCCGCTGAGCCTGCGCGTCCGGAGCCTGTGCTCCGCAAAGGGAGAAGCCCACAAAAGGGAGAGGCCCCGTAAACCCAAAAAAAAAAAAAAAAAAAAAAAAAAGTAAATTAAGGAAAATCTTGGGGAAAGGAAAATGAAGCTTCAATTGAGGTCTGTTACAAAATTTAGTCCTTAACTTCTGTTTTGATGCAAAAAGCAGGCCATAAAATTAGCTTTAAGCTTCCTAGCAGCCAAAGCAAAAATGGAAATAAGCATCATCAATAAGATTCACAGTGTCTTTAAGATAAAAACACATCAGTTGGGCTTCCCTGGTGGTGCAACGGTTGAGAGTCCGCCTACCGATGCAGGGGACACGGGTTCGTGCCCCGGTCCGGGAAGATCCCACATGCCGCGGAGCGGCTGGGCCCGTGAGCCATGGCCGCTGAGCCTGCGCGTCTGGAGCCTGTGCTCCGCAACGGGAGAGGCCACAACAGTGAGAGGCCCGCGTAACGCAAAAAAAACAAAAAAAAACCACATCAGTTGCTTAGGAGAATCATAAATTTTCTTGCTACTGATATATGAAGAAATTTCTCCTCAGGGTCTTTATAACAGAAATATTAATGTAATACAGAGTCCTCAATGTAACATAATAAGTATGGCTATGCTTATGACTAAAGCTCAGCATCCAGATCATGTGGCAAAGAGGAGGCACTAATATTTGTTGACTGACTGACTGTAAACATAATGCTGAAGCACCATTCAGTCAGCAATTATATAAGGAGCCAAAACTTGGGTCCAGGAATCTGGTGCTCTGGTCATCTGGCTTGATCCAAGCATAACACTTACAATATCTAGAGTAACAGACCATTAATCTCTCAAGCAATGAATACTGCTTCTTCCAAAAGAAATATAAAAACGGTCTAACAGTGATTTTGAAAATGTCCTTCGAGTAGACAGGAGGCAGTACTGAGTCACGACTAAGAGCAAGCTTATACTCTTGATCAAGAGGACTACTTTTAGAGAGAAGGCAAGATTGACAGGAACTTGGCCTTGCTTTACCACTTAGCAGCTGAGAGGCAGAATAACATCTCTATTACACACGACTAAAAGGACAGAGCAAGGGGAAAAAAAAACAACACATGGACTAATAAGCCTGATGAGTGGAAAAATCAACACATTAGTAATAAACTGAACTCCTCATGGAGTGAAAACTACCTGGAAGTAGAGGGTAACCTAATGCATAAATGCTTAGTACAGAATCCACAGCAACAAGTGAGTAATTTATTATTACTCTGCTTACAAAGTTTATTCTCACACCTACATTTGAGAGATGGCTTAGAAATTCCAGATACCAAGCTCTTATGACCAGGGACATATTTCTTTCCATCGTCATTAAGGCTCCGAGCATGTGGGACCAGAAAAGAGGCATTTTACCCAGTTACCTGCAGACTTATTTCATCATCCTGGGTTATTAAATATGTTACAGCCAAGCAGGTCTTTCTTGGAGTGGTTATTTGAACTTACTTGGGCACGTATTTTAAAAGGTTACCCAAAAGAAGTTTTGAAAATTAGAAAAAAAAAAAAAAAGTAAACCATACACAAGACTGGACAGATCTCAGCTGACTTTGGCACTTACCTCTGGGGATATGGATAATGTCATTTTCACTAGGTGTGGGCCACAGGGGGACCTCCAGGTCAGTCTCTCCACGATGATTTGTCTTCTCAATGGGTATATTAGTTGGTTCCGGGACATACATTTCTAAAAGAAGGGGACATGTTTCATAAGAGATGATGGAGGGGCTCCTTATTGTTGACTTGTCTCCTGAGTCCAAATGGACGGTGCATGCAATACAACACAACATGTCCTGGAACATGAAAGATCCAGTTTCCACCTTGACATCATTAATGCTACAGTTACTAGCTTTGTAGGGGTGGGAAACATGTCCTATAACGACTTAAAAAGACGGGAGAAGATTACTCCTCCACCTGGGTCAGAAGCTCTGCTTTTTCATGACAAACGCTGTTGGCTCTACAGATTCGTGCAAGCTGATGGTCACTGGCTGAAATGAAAGGATTTCTTTTACTTTCCATCTAATAAATTATACTTTAATAACTTGCTCTTTAATAAATGAGTGTTGAATCATTTATATGAAATATGTCACAGGAAGTGAAAAAGTTAAAGCATCTTCCATTCTTTATTCACTTCCCCTCCACTCCCTTCCCCTCAATGGGAATGGATGTTGGCAGACCTCATGAGGTGCTGCCCAATTTAAGTCTTAAATGTCTACTCTGTTATTCCTGGAACCATGTAGATTGGAAACTGATCTTGAGTAAACATATTAATATTATCTAACTCGATCATATAGACACTTTGGTCAACAAGATACTACAACATGAAACAAAACCGAGAAGAATGATATTCATTAATCTCCAATATCAGGATTTTTTTTTTTGAAGCCAAGTTCTAAAGGGACCAGTGAGAAAATCCAAAGCTTTCCATGGTTCCTATATAAATATTTGTATATCCCTACTTCATCTGGCTAACAATAACTAGCCAACTTTTAAAAGAAATAATTCTTAAGAACCTCTGTTTTCAAAATATAACAATAGAAGTCAGCCTCAATCATGTACTGCTTGGCCAGGGCCTGCCATATTATTAACTGATTTTTATAATAGGGTTACCCAACATTGGTAATACGAAATACTAATATTCAGCCTAATTTAGTCCAAAATGAAATACATGAAATACGTTATATAAGTTAAAAGAAAATCCTCTCTGCTCACAGTGATCACGTTCTATCCCAAAGTTACCAGCCTTTCAAGAAGTGAACTTTAAAAAGGATAAATCTGAGAGAAGGGAAGAGTGATAGAGAATAGAGTACGTGCTAAACTTCCACTGTGAGTTAACCGAGCATCTGCCAGGGAAATAAATGCTAAGACGTTAAGAAATTGCCCAAGATTATGCACCCAGGAACCAGCAGAGCTGGGCTTCCAATCCAGTTCTGTGATTCCAAAGCCCAGGTCTTCCTATTGCCCCCAAGAATAAAGTTACTTTGGCTTTTGCTTTTCTTACTTAAATTCTAAGACCTCAAACACGGCAAGAAGTAGACGCTCTTAGAGTTTTGAAAGGTTCAACAGGTCTCTAAAAACTAGAATTAAAAAGAGAAGTTATTGAAAACATTTTCATTCACGGAAGCAGGGGTCTGAGTATAAACTAGTGATTCCAAACTTTTCTATCATATCTGAATCACCTGAGGAGCTTATAAAATGTGCTGACGCTCACAGGTCCTCATTCAATAAGTCCGGGCTGGGTGGGTCTGGGGGGTGTGTGTGTAGGGATGGTGTTCAGCTCGCCCACTGAGACATCTAGATATGTGATACGAATTTCCTGGAGGAATTCGGAAAGGAAACCCCCTTGACATTTACATGACATCTTTCAGTGCCGTGGCACCCTGAGCCCCTGCCCTGTCTCGTCCAGCGCACAGCCTTGGGCTTTCCTATCCCAACAGGGGCTGACCTGCCACTGCCTTCTGAGGCCTCGGGAGAAAAGACTAACGAGATCCATGCCAAAAACCTGTGAATGTCAGCAGCTAAGTAGCAAAGACCTCCTCTGCGGAGACTCCCAGGGCTGGGGTCAATTCAGTTCAGCTCAGGGTCTTTCCTGAGTGACAGCAGCAGGCAAGCAGCTTTGAAATTCTTGTGCCTCATACCTGCCTACAGGTAGATTTCAGTGAAACCCTACAAACAACACAGACTTGACAGTGTGAGTTCTCTTCCCACAGGTGCTTAGGAAGGCTCTCCTTGGCAAAAGAGGGGAAAGTTGGAAGGATCTACCTAGGACGGAGGAGGATGTCTTACTCAGTGATTGCTAATCACCATTGTTCAGCAAATATTTTCCAAGTATTTCCTATGTGGCAGGCACTGGCCTGAGCTTGGGAGATAGTTGTGAGCAAGACCAGTCCTGCCCTCACGGGCCTCTCATGATGAGTTACTTCTCACCGTCTGGCAACTCATGGCCTGTCCTCTGGACCAGTTTGCTCCACTAAACTCAGTTCCGCTCTGATTAAAATCTACCCATGCCTCCTTATCATAAAATACTCAAAAGCTCCAGTTCAGAGCCCTCAAGTCTAAGGGGAGAGGGTCATTTCCCTCTGATGTGAACTTAAGAGGGAAGCCACCTCTGAGCAGTTCTGTCAAAAAGCATAAAACTTTCAGCAAAAAAACTGCTTTAAGAAACAAAAAGAAGTGTGGGTGCTGCTGTGTTTCCATGCCTAGGCCCAGGCCTGCCATGACCAAAGACTGCATTCAACCCCAACTCTAAAATAGAACCCTTCCGGTATTTACTACAAGAGTCCTTTATAAAGCTGCTGGCATTGTGGATGATAGGGCCAGGGGAGTGACACAAATCTTTACCTGGCCAGGTGGCATAGATCACGGGCACATGGTCAGAATTAAAGAATTACAACTGGGGTCAGATTTGACCTGAACTTCAGAGGAACCTAAGACAACCTACTGGGGATGCATTTTACAGTCAGAGGCACCTGGCCCATTGTAAGAGCCACCCTCCTTAAAATGTCCTTTTCTGGATATGGGGCAGGGTGCTTGGGGCTTACAAGGGGAGGACACCATTTTCTGGGAGATGGAACCGTAAGTCACCTTAGGACTGGGGACTCCTGGGTCTTCTGCTAACTAGCTACATGGCTTTGGATAATTCACTTAACTTTTCTGACCCTGTTTTCTATAAAATGGGGCAGGTACTAACCAGCAAATCAGTTCACAGGTCTGCTACATGTATCCAAAGATGGCAGAGGGGGAAAGTGCTTTGTAAGGGTGAGGCTGCTCAGAACGTTAGCTGATGTGCGTAGGGGACAAAGCCAAGTAGCTTGAGCTTTCCAGGTGAGAATCGGCAACGTGAAACTTCAGAGGGCCCAGGAGAAAAATGGGACAGGAATCCAGGCTTCCTGGCGGGCCACACTTAATCAAATGTAAGGTGGCAGAGCTCACCTGACTGCAAAATTTGCTGAGATAAGATGGAGAAATAATTCATGAATAATAACATCAGAAGCAGAAGGGGGACTTAACAGAAATTAAATTCCAATCCAACAGTAAATGCTGACTGAGAAGTCACTGGAGAAATCTCTAGTATGAGCAGGATGTTAGTGAAACCTGCACTCTTTCCTCTATTAAACTCGCAACTGAGGAGGGTGGATCTTTCCCTCTATTCCTGCCGCCATCACCTGAATTTGGGTCCTAATCATCACACACCTGGGACGTCTGCAGTGCAAGTCACAGCTGTCCTGGCTTCTGGTCTCTCCCTGCTTCAGTCCTCCTACAGATCACTGTGTGGCTCCCCAAAGCACCTCCATGATCTTGTGTTTCATCTGCTCAAAAATGAGCCATGAAGGACAAAGGACAAAATCTACCTCTCCAATTGACAATTAAGGCCCTAAAAATCTGGACCAAAGTCATCTTTCTCTGTCCTTATTTCCTGCTCCTAGAACTCCCTATTCCAGGGGCATTTGGCCTTGACCTTTCTGTCTCAGGGTCTTTGGTCAGATTACCCTTTCACTCCAATTAAGAGAACCCACCTGTCTTTCAAGGTCTAGCTCAATCCTTCAGTGAAAGCCTCCAAGACCCCCCTCTACTCCACAGGAAAATCCTATCTGTGAACTTAGCACTCGTGGTCTGTAGCTGGGCTGTGTAATGGTTGTCTCCAATTCACCCCCTCCCCTTCTCTCTAGACACCACTCTAAGTAGATTTTGCTGCCACCACTGTACGGAAATGGCTCTCGTCACGACGACTAGGACAATGCTAAATGCACAGCAGTCAGTCCCTGCTTCTCACCTGATGTCACCCAACAGTACTCCTCATACCCTCTCTCCATGTGGCTCCCAGATCATAGCTCTCTCCATTTCTTCCTGTGTGGCAGGGGCTCATTCTCTGTTTCCTCTGCCAGTCTCTCCCCACCTGCCCAGATCCCAAAGTTGGAGGGTTCCTGGGCTCAGTCCCAGGCTTCCTTTTCCTCTCTATACCCACTCACTCCTTGAGTGACCTCGTCCGGTCTCAAGGATTAAAAACCACCTGTGGCTGACAATGTTCAAGTTTATGGATCCACCTCCCATTTCTCTCCTGAACTCCAGATCAGACAGATTCACTGTCTATTCATTATCTCCACTTAGATGTCCAATGGAGATTTCAAACTAAAAACTCCCCAAACCAAACTGATTTTACACTAGAGCTGCAACTCCATATTTTAGTCAAAAACATTATAGTCGTCCTTGGCATCTCTCTTCCTCTCACTCCTCACATCACGTTCAAATCCTATGGATTCTACCCTTTCACTAGAATCAGAACCCAACCATTTCTCCCACCTCCACAGCTACTGCCCCGGTCCAGGCCACACTCATCTCTCACCTGCATCACTGGCCTCTCTGCTTCCACTCCTGCAAGTCACGTCCCATCACTCCTCCACTCAAAACCCACCAGAGTTTCTATCTTGCCCAATAAAATTCTAAAATCACTCATGAGATCTCGTGTTTTGGCACACAGCTATTTCTCTGCTTTCCTCTAGTTACCCTCCCTGCTCATGGGGTCATATCCACACAACCTCCCTGCTTCTCTTTGAACGTTCATGGCATGTTCCCACCCCCTGGGCTTTTGTCTTGCCTATACCGCAGAGATTCTGCCTCTACCCCATGATTCCTGCCACTCTTCTGGGTCCCTTAATAAATGTCATCTGATCAGTGAGGCATTCTCGGATTATCAGAACATCCTGTCTCCTGCTCTGCCTAGCCCCTCCTCCCCCACCCTGGCCTTGCTATGTGTTTTCTCTGTGACCCTTATACTCATCTTGTGCGCTATTTACTGTTTACTTATGTGCTGCCTGTCTCTCCCTACGAAACCATCAGCTGTGTGGACGGGGACTTGTTGGATTCACCCTTGTCTCCCCAAGGCCTCGAGCAGTGCTTGCATAGGGTAGGCACGAAATGAATCTTGGTTGAATAAATAAGATCAAGCTTCACCATTTGAACTGCTCAAAGCATATTACTAGGAAAACTGGTATGAAACTTGTGAAACAGGTGAAATGTAATAGATAAAGCAACTCCAATGAGTAATACATGTTTTTCCTCATTCTTCTCGTGCAAAACACTTAAGGATTTTGTTTTCTCCCTATGTGGACAACGAGGGATACAACATCACAGAAGTGAACTTGTGACTCTCAATTTACACCTTAAACAAGGCCAAGGAGACTGAACTATGAAAAGCACCCAATAAGAGATCTGAAAAGGACCCAGCCTCCTGACCTGGCAGAATATCCCATCCTTTTTAGGGGATAAATGGACATTTTTAGAAGTGCCCATTAGGGCTAGTTTGCACAACAGCTAAACAAAAGGCAAATGTATGCAGAGCTCAGTGAAACTCTTCGGGTTTAACTGGCTGTCCCATCTGACAAGTGCACGGTGTAGATGCCCTTCTAAGTTGCCCTGACTCCTAGCCCACTGTGCTGCACGGAGCAAGCCTCTAATACAATGCCGCAAAAAAACACAGAATCGAGGTGAACGTGGAGGGGCTCCTAGAGTGAGCCCTCCCTTTGGTCTGTGTGGTCTGGACTGCCTGTGAAGTCTGTGTGTTCAGGGCTTTAGATCTGGAACACTGCCCAGAGGCTGTCCTGCTGAGGGCTCAGGTCCTGCATTGCTGGGAATGAGGGGCAGAAAACAAAGGAGCTGTTTTGGCAGGAGACACAGACATGGAAACCAGGAGAAGGCCTGGTGGAGGATCTGGGCAGCTGTGGGGAACTTAGGTTTGAAATTGGGAGGCGAGTTACTGAGCTGACATGAAGGGTGGAATGTGGGGACAGACGCAGGCATGTGATTCTGCAACAGCCAGCTGGGGGTGTGCTCCGTGGTTCCGGTCTAGGTGGGAAGAGATGGAAAGTTCACGGGAGGGCTTGGGAGAAGGCTGCATGGGGTGGCCTGGGAACTACTGGAACTGATGAACTGAAGGAAGATTGGACCAGCATCGTATTCTTTAAATGCAGCTCTTCCATTCTGGTTCTGATAGATATTCACCTTAGAACAGCATTCCCTACTGTGTCCGATGATGGACCTTTTCCACTAGGCTCGTCCAACGCTGCACTAAAACTGTGCTACTCAGATACGGCAGGTGTCATTCACAGGTCTGTTACACCCATAAGGCTTGCCACTTACTTTTAGAGAATGCAAGTCAGAAAAGAGCAATACTGGCATGCAACCAAAATCAGGCACTCACCTAGATGGTCACAGGCTCCCAAGTTACCCGCCAGGTCTCTGTTTGGGCCACAGGAGCTAAGGGATGGGTGGGGGAGGTTCTGAGTCTGTTCTAGCTTCCTTTTGAATCAACATCCCAGCTTGAAAAGTGGCAGGGCAGCGGATTAGATACCTGGGCACATTGGGCAGCAGCTCCCTTCCACGTTGATGGGCTCGACGCAGGGCAGCGGGGGGCAGCTGACGGTCGAGCAGAGGGTCTGGCCCTGCAGGCAGTAGCAGTGTGTGCAGCTGTCAATGTCCCAGCGCTCCTCATCAGCGTAGGCCTTCCCGCTGAAGTGGCACACCACCTTCTTTGGGATTGTGTCCTCTAGTGAAAAGAACGGCACATGGTGGAGTCGCTCCATGTGACAAACACAATTTCTCATCATACTTGAGACATGAAGGGGAAAAGCTCTACACAATCGCAACATGCTCTAGGAGTCCCAGAATTGGGTAAAACTTCCACCTCCCCAGTCCCTACTGTGTTTTCCTCTGCTCAGTGGAAGCCTCTGAACTCTCATCTTGTGGCCTGAACCTGATCAAGGGCCACTGAGGCTGACACAGGTGGTAACTATAACAACCAGCTGGGAACGATACCCGTTGGCCAAGAGTCATTAGAGTCATTCAACTGTCATTGAAAATATACAAACTTAATCATCACATAGCTGTTGAACATACCACACGAAGAAACTAAAACTGAAATACAAATAGGTAGGGAGACAGGATCAGAGGTTCTGTTCCATGGAAAGAGAGAAAAAGTCCAGCTGAGTATACTTATAGAAACAACTGAAGAAATTCCCATCTCCAGTTAATCTTTGTGTAAATGATGCAGGGGAATGGTAAGGAATGACAATGGTCTGTCGCAGGGAACTGGCAGGCCTCCCGTGCTCTCCCAGAAGGGAATCAGCATTGAGATGACCATTTCCTTCATTTTTCAGGGATGCTGGATGGATCTCCCTCTCAGTAACGAGGACATTCTTACTTCAAAAACAACCTCACTTCATTTCAATCCTTTTTTTTTTCCCCAGAAAACTATGCTTTTTGAGAAATATATATATATATATATATATATATATATATATATATATGTATGTATGTATGTATGTATGTATTTTATTTTTTTTGCGGTGCGCGGGCCTCTCACTGTTGTGGCCTCTCCCGCTGCGGAGCACAGGCTCCGGACGTGCAGGCTCAGCGGCCATGGCTCACGGGCCCAGCCGCTCCGCGGCATGTGGGATCCTCCCGGACCGGGGCACGAACCCGTGTCCCCTGCATTGGCAGGCGGACTCTCAACCACTGCACTACCAGGGAAGCCCGAGAACAATATATTTTTAAGAGCTATTTTTTATGTATAAGAATTTACAGCTTAACACATTCTGCTTATCTTTTTTCTCCGTTCTCTCCTACCATCCTCACATCTTCCATCCCCCAACCTTTTCCTTGAAAGTTCCTTTCTCTTTGATTCAACACCTTCTCCTGGTTTCTCTGAACTTACTAGTGGTCACATTCCCTCTATAGCTCAGAGTGAGGCCCAATGCTCAGCAATGGAGAAACACAGGATGGGGGTGGGGCAGGCCAATAACTGGATGACTCCTACAAAGCTGGGGAAATTTTATGCTCAGATTCTATGGGCAGCTCCATTCATCACTGGTCACTAGTAAATGAAAAACTATAAAGGCATCTGGAAGGAAAGTTCCTTAGGAAAGAAGTGGTGTCTTCTCCCTGGAAGGCACCTTGGAAGCTCTGAGAGGGGCAGTATTCACTGCTCAGGCACAAAGGACAGAACCCACAATGCCTGAGGGGCAATGAGGAACATCTATATGCAGGGCGTCAGGACCCCAGCCTCTGTAGCCAAGCGCTCCTGGGCGGCTGGAACCACTCTGTGAAGACCTAGCATGAAGCTTCCTGTTGAGCTTTTCCAGAGGAGGGTCACAGGCAGAAATATCTGTCTTTGGAATCCACATTCTCTTCTTACCAATTACTCAAGCATATGCCCCTGACTAAATGGCACTAATAATGTCCTATGACTGTAGGATTTTGTGTTTCCAAAGGTGGTCCATTGTGGAGTGTTATAAGTAAGCATGGAAAGGACTCTATGTCTAGTGTTAAAATGCATAATCTCTGTTTCCCAATGCATTTTCATTATTTCTCTCATTACTGTTGCTTGATGTTCAGCAAGGGATATTAAGCAATCACAGAAAGTTCTAGTTGTAAAAAGCAGAAATTCTTTTTCAGTATCTATTTAAAAATGTAGTTCACTGTATTTGTGAGTGTTCCACAGAAAGGGTTCTGGTGCACTGAATGTTAACCTTAAAAACACTTGGAGGCTTTCACACCAAACTCATGGGAGAAGTTTTTGCTAATCTGAAATCCTTAGAGGAGGTGACTTCATTAAGATACCCAAAATGTACATGTCAAATGGATGAGTAGAATCATTTAATGAACTTAATTCAAGTAATATACTGACCTTGAGCCAACATGTCATTGAGGACATTAGATTTGCCATCAAATCTAGAGTCTATTATGCAGAGAATTCTTTAGGAAAGGAAGCATTTCTTCATAAGGCAATACTACTGATTATATTTCACATAAACCTTGTAACAGCTCACATGATGGACCAATGTCACGGCATAAAATTTGAGTAACGTATTACTACTGTGCAAGGACCTGGGAGAAGAGAAGTTTACACTCCCCACCCTATCTTGTCCATCACCTTCTCCTGTGCTTTTCCTCCCACAGGCATTTTGCCAGTTCTCTTCTTAGAGAAGAGGAAGGGAATGAGAAAGAGGCACAGAAAGGATGAGGGGGCTTCCCTGGTGGTGCAGTGGCTAAGAATCCACCTGCAAATGCAGGGGACACGGGTTCGAGCCCTGGTCCGGGAAGATCCCATATGCAACTAAGCCCGTGCGCCACAACTACCGAGCCTGTGCACTAGAGCCCGCGAGCCACAACTGCTGAGCCCGTGTGCTGCAACTACTGAAGCTCGTGCGCCTAGAGCCTGTGCTCCACAACAAAGAGAAGCCACTGCAATAAGAAGTCCACACACCGCAACGAAGAGTAGCCCCCTCTCACCACAACTAGAGAAAGCCCGTGTGCAGCAATGAAGACCCAACACAGCCAAAAATAAATAAAATTATTTAAAAAAAGGAAATAAAAATTTCCTTTGCCAGGAAAGAGGGTATATTTGTCAAATTTCCCCCAAACCACTAAAATAAAATAAAATAAAATAAAGTAAAAAAAAAAAAAAAAAAAAAAAAAAGGACGAGGACTTCATAATAAAAGAAATTCAAGTCAAGGCCAAGCACTGGTCTGTATTAAGATCTAGGCAAAAACACTTATTACATCCTAAGATATTAAATCAATGCTAATATTTGTGAAGTTAAATCTATAAAATTAAGATATTAAAAATAGTAATTATGTGTTAAACATTATAAAGACATTCATTCACTTATTCTACAAACTTTTATCATCAATGGGAAAAAAGGCAGGACCAGGACCCTGACCCAGAGGACTGAGCAGAAGTGGTGGAGACAGGCTGGCGACCGGGACTCCTCACCAGGTACCACGCAGCAGCCACAGTGCTGTGAATTCAACGTGAAGTTGGACAACACAACATGGAGGGTGAAGCAACTGTCTGCTGGGGGAACTGGGAGAGGATTCACCCAGGATTTGATGCTTTAGTTTTACTTCGAGGGATGAAAAGAAGATAAAGAAGCTGGAAGGAAGGACACTGCAAGTAGATGGTGGTACATCCAACAGTTTGCCATGTTGGAACGACAGTGAGAGGTGTGAGGGCCACATGCAGGATGGCTGGAGATGAAGTTGGGATCAGATCATAAAGGGCCTTGAAGAACAATGACAGATTTAGAGCCTTCCTGCAGTGGAGGGGACGGGCCTTATCAGCTTTGTCTTCAAGAAGAGAACTCTGTCTTCAAGAAGAGAACTCTGGAATATGACAATGTGGAAGACTAAACAGGGTTAGGATGGGGACGCTGGTCACCGGGATGTGTTACAGGCCTGGATTAACGCAGAGGTGATGGAGGTGGAAAGGCAAGGCTAGGTTTGAGAGCTATTACTGAGAAACAGCGGTCAGGATACGGACAGTGAGGGGGGCGGAGGTGTGAAGGACAACCCTGTTTCTTGCAATGGGAGGTGATGCAGAGGTAATTCCAATATATGAGTCACTTTCCTGCTTTAACAAATAAACAGCTGGTGAGCTTGTCAAGGACCTGGTCAAGCCTTATCAAACCAGATATTCCAGTGGGTCAATCAGAGCTGCAGCGGTTGACCTTCAAACTCTTAGCCTTTCTGTGTGAACATGACCATGAAGCTGCCTCTAGGATAGAACTGATTTGGGGCTCAACAAGGTAAAAGGGAACACGTTTTAGTCACCAGTGGTGAGAATGTGGGGTAACAGGCAAAACTGGCAGTATCCCTCATGTATCCTTAAAAACATACTTCTTTCATCCAATAATTCTATTTCTAGTCAGCTATCCCAAGGAAATAATCAGAAAAGGCCTAAAATAAGTTGTTTATGTAGATGTTCATCACAATATTATTTATAATAGCAAGAAATTGGGGGAAAAAAACCTGTCCAACAATATGGGATATTTTAATGACTTGATACAATCATAGGAGAGAATATTGTGCAGCTGTTAAAATGCATCATGTATAGTATAAGTTCAACCACGTAAAGAGGAAAATTTAAAACTGTCTGGAAAGAAACAAAACTGTTAACAGTAACCGTTAGAATCAAGGGTGAATTTTTCTCTTTAACTTTTCTTTTGCAATGAATATGAGTTACTCTTGATAAGGCAACAATATTAAATGATTTCAAACAGGTATGTGCATGTATTATCAACCTCCCCTCCCATCCTCCCCCCCCCCCCCCACACACAATGAAGAGAAAAGCTTAGTCTGAGCCTGGTTCTAAAGAACCTGGTCACGCGGTGTGGTGCTTTCCGAACGCTACTGACCCACTCTGAATAATTTCAGTGGTCTGCAAGAAAATTAAAACCACAGAAGACATGCCAGAGAGCAAATGCTGAGCTACAGCATAACGAAAGTGTCTATGCAACTACTCATCCAGTAATTGTATGAGATCACTGTCCCAAAGAGTATTTATAAAATGATAGAAGAGGGATAGTAACTACTCTGGATGTCTAGCAGGCAGTAGGTTGAACCAAGAACTTCGATGACATATTAGATGAAATTGAAGTTTCTCATTTGATTTTGTTACAAAAATAAGTCTTTTTCTGAATTCAATGAAGATTAAGAGTTCAATCGAGTGCACCAATATGACAAAGAAACGGTGAAACCCATTCAGTG